TGTTTTCCTTCCACAAAAAAAAGATATTTTTTTTCCTACTTACTCTGCTGGTTTTTCTTGATTTGAAGTAGTTACATACATGATGTCAAAGTGAAAAGCTTTGTATAGTTGATAAAATCAAATTAAATAGTCTATGATCAAATTTAAAAGTCGTTATAACGATAAGTTAAAATAATTTTAGATAGAGCAAAAAATATTTGTTGTGATCAACATAATTTTAAAAGTTTTATTATTGATTGTTACCTTCATTTTTTTTTTTTTTTTTTTTGGAAATCCTCAAGTTTCCAGGATTTAAATTCCTCGCGAAACAGTTGACAATAATTTTAGTAGTTTTTTACCAAGAGAAATTCTAGTATATTTGCAAAACAATTCAGTAGTTAAGTGTAGAAAGGGGAAGCAGATTGTCATTTGCAGAATCTTTCTAAAGAAATACAAAATTATATTAAAATCTATATTGCAACCTCCATCCTCAAAAATATTTTACTGCCTTGTAAAGAATTAGGTCAAGAAATTTTCATAGATGGTTTTATTCACGGTCTAGGTTTGATCTGGAAATTTTAGGGACAGCGAAGATAGATGTTTGAAATGTGTTATTAGTTTTATTAGGTTATAGGTGTTTATGTGTTTACTCCATCTGCTTGCGACGTTTGTTATATGTGTGTTAAAAAATGGTTTCAAGACACTGTATTACAATTTGAAGAGAACAGTTAGAGATTGAAGATATTTATTTCATGGGATCCTGATTAAAAAGAAATTTTCTGTTTTCATCGCAATTGTTTGCTTTCCTTCAATTTAAAAGGGGTTATTAAAGAGTTTCTTGTTTATTACATTAAATATAGAACCACGATAAAACGACCTATAAAAATTTTTGTTCTGAAGCAAATGTTTCAATAAATTTTTAGTATGAACCAATCAATAGTTATAATAATTAATAATTAATTAATTGTCCATAATATGTTGAAAAAATATTGTAGCAGGAATAAGTGAAATATCGAAATATTTAACATAGTCTAGTTAGTACATTATCTACTTCAACTGAAAGTTATCTATACTTGCCTTTGGCAACTATTTACTTTTTATTTAATTTATTTAATAACAATAAATTTTTTGTGTGATTGTTTTGAAGTTGGGTACGAAATTCCTTTGATTGGCTAATTTAATTTTCACGTGTATGAATTTTAGAAATTTCATTTCAATCTTCTATCAAATTTTTTTTAAAAAATGTCCAGCAGTTTTTCATCAGTAGAAAATATTCAAACATTATTTAATAGTCTAGCAGATTTAAATAGTTATGCCCTACCACTAAAATATACTAGTAAACTTGTAAATGATTTAACAAAGTTATTGAATGAATCAGATTTTTATGATGTAGAAATTAGAGTTGGAATGGATGAGGATGTTAAAACTTTTAAAGCTCATTCTACCATTTTAAAAGCAAGATCTTCATATTTTAAAGCTGCTTTATCAAATAATTGGGCAAAGAAATCTGATGATGGTATCATTTTATTTGAAAAAAAATATATTTCTCCAAATGTATTTGAGGCTCTTTTAATGTAAGATTATTTTAGCTTGATCAATTAATTAATTGAATGATTAATTATAAATAATTTAAAATTACTTATTTTATAGATATATTTACAATGGGACCATTAATATAGATAATCTGGATGAAAATGAAAACTTTGAACTTCTTGAGGCATGTGATGAATTAGGCTTTAATGAATTAATTGAAGATTTACAAAATCACTTGATCATCAAAAAGAAAGAATGGATTCAACAGAATTTAGTTTATGTTCATAAAATTTCATCACAGCATCAATTGTTTAACTTGCTTCAAGAACATTGTGCTAAAATAATTAGCGAAGACCCAGAATCATTTTTGGATTCTAATAACATTACAAAAATTGAAAAGTCCATGCTTACATCTATTTTAGAAAGGGATGATCTAGAATTAAAAGAAATAGATATTTGGAATTATGTTATTCAATGGGGAATAGGTCAGAATGAAGAATTGGAAAAAGATATTTCAGTGTGGAAGAAGGAAGATTTCATCAAGTTGAAAATTGTAATAAAAGATATAATTCCATTGATAAGATTCAATCAAATTTCTTCCACTGATTTTTCTTGTAAAATTTTACCATTTAAAAAAATTTTTGATAAAGGAATTTATAATGAAATTCTTTTATGCTATCTTAACAATGACTGGCAGCCAAAATTATTACTTCAAAAAGGACCAAGATTAAAAATGAGAACAGGAAAATTATTAAATTTACAAATGAAATCTCTAATTTCAAGTTGGATTGATTATAAAAATGGTCTATATAATGAAAACAATATACCTTATAAATTTGAATTAATTTTTCAGGGCACTCAAGATGGATTTTCTAGAACTGCATTTGAGAATAAATGTTATAATATTGAACAAACTGTAGCCATTATGAAAATTAAAGATACTGGAGAGTTGGTTGGTGGTTATAATCCAGTTGGTTGGAATATAAAAGATGGGTATTGGATTAAAACTGATAAAAGTTTTATTTTCAAAATTGACGAAAATCAGATAAATGATTCGATATTAAGTAGAGTTATAGATCCAGAACGTGCAATATATGATAATAAACAAAAGATTAGTGTAACTCTAGATAATATAGAATTTCATGAAAAAACTATAAATTTTCGGAATTTACAATTATGTAATAGTATTAATCATGAACCTTATTGTTATTATTATATTAATTTCTTGGATTCTTATGAAAATAATTTAAATCTCAGGAATAAAAGTAGAAAAATTCATTTGATAGAAGAATGTGAGGTCTATAGAATGGTAAAAACAAATTAGTTTATTTAATTGTACATATTATTATTATTATTAAATTTATAAAATAAATTCATGCTTCTACATGTAAGACTCTGAACAAGTCTATAGAATAGTAAAAACAAATTGATTTATTTAATTGTACATATATTATTATTATTAAATTTATTAAATTCATGCTTCTACATGTAAGTCTCTGGGCAAATCAATGTGGTTGAATCGATTTGAATCACCAATTTTTGATTTGTTTTATTTGGATCATGATTCGAATTGATTTTGAACATATAAAT